AGAGCAGGGGGGTCAAACTCCAAAACACAGGGGGCCAAAATGTAAAAGCTGAACAAATCCGTTGGCCTAGATTGAACAAATGAAGCTTTTAATATGGAACCAAACAAATTTTGCTTTAACATTGAATATGGAACAAGCAACTCTTATTACATTATATATAACTTAATAGTGACATGCAAAATCAAATTTCAAATAAAAAAAACACATTAATGGCATTCATTTATGAAATAAAATGTAAATTTTTTTTGGATTTGCAGCTTTCTGAATTAAATATCAAAATGAAATGATCTTGTCCAGAAAGCTCCTGTTTGTTTCTTTGGGTCATTTTTGGGCAGCAGCACAGTGACAGCTGTAGTGTTTCCTACTGTCACAGAGGAGTTTCTGGGTCCTGAACAGCAGCAGGGCATTATGGGAGTTGTAGTACGAGCCGTTAATGGTCTGTACAGTATAATACCGGGGGGCCAGCTCTCCTAGTCATTTGGTATTGTCTCGCGGGCCAAATATAATTACAGAGTTTGACCCCCCTGCTCTAGAAGCAGCATTGCCTGCAGTCAGTGTGTTCCTAAGCCCCAAACTGGACCAATCCAAATCCTGACAGACGCCTCCCTGAGGCTGGCAGATGGTTTGTTCTGCTGTGTGGACGCTCTCAGGTCTTTCTCCTCACCCCTCTTCGCAGCTCTACAAGAACCTGTGGTCCACGGTGATGCAGGGCAGCCAGGTGCTGGAGCGGCCCTCCTGGTGGAAGGAGTTCTGCTGCGACAAACCTGAGATCGGATCCCTGCAGGCAAAGCTCTAGAGGCCCCGCGAGCATCCCTGCATCCCCTCAGGGACGGGTTTTAACAAATAAATAAATAAGGGTTTGATTGAAAAAATCCCAGACAGCAATGCAGAACCGTGAGGGTATCACCCCGGTGAAAGATATTTAATGATGCCAATGGCAACCATTATGCAGGTTATTAGAAAAGGAAAGCACTTTTAGATGATTCATGAGGAACTCTGTCCGTGAACCTCTGTGAATCATCAGATGCATTTGCTTGACTGCAGTGTACAAAGATGGGAAAATCTGACATTCAGAAAGTCCAAGTAGTTCAACCTCTGGCTGAACCAGAAGGTGTTTTAAACATGATATACCCAATTTAATAATATATCAATCTAATACAGGATTTAGCTGTAACAAATATTGCATCTATAGTCCTTTTAATCTGTTGAAGAATAAAGAAACAAATGACTTAAAGTCTGAATCACTTCACCTTAAAAAGGTGATTGTCATTGTCACTAAAAGGAGAACATTAAGTTGTGAAGTTGGAATGTTTGAGGACGTGCTGTCACTATGTCCCATGTGATCACTAAAACATCCATGCAGTTGTACATGGTAAAGAAAGAGTTTGTGTAAAACTTTAATTGCAATAAACGTATGACTGGCATTTTTGCTATATTTTTTGTCATTCTGCTGTTTGTCTAAACCTATACAGCCATGAGGAGTTGTAAACATTGTCAAGTGACCATATTTAATACAATAATAAGTTTAGGTTCAACTATTCATTGTTGCAGAATACAGGTACAAAGCCACTGAAATGCAGTTCGCAGCCAACAATACACAGATAGTGATTCTGGTCCTGTTTCAGTCCTGACTGCTGGA